GGAGATGATCACCTTGTTATTTGGGATGGGACTGATACAAGCCTGTGGAAACTGGTCAGGTACGATCTCCTGGGTGTGTGACTCTGGTGGGAAGGGGCTGATAAAAACTGAGGAAAAGTGATGGCAGGAAGATGCTGAGAGAAAGGAAAAGGTACATTGAGAAAAAACAATTACAGAATGTTATTCCCACATGAGAGTGCAGTTGGAGATCCAGAGTGGGACACTCCTTATTTGTTGGGGTTCCTTAGATTAAAAATGGGTGAAATTGGTGCAGAGTGCATGCTAGATAGGTGGAATTAGGTTTTTTGGAGATAGCTGTTATGAGACGGCAGATAATCTGGCTTGGCAGAGCACTGCATGCCAGAAAAAATGAATATTTGGATTAGAAACTGTGTCTGCATCTCAGGACTTAGTACAAATGACATTACATATATCCTTGGATCTCCCATTTATGAGATCCAAGGATATATGGGGGGGCTTCCTCCCAAATCAAATATAAGCTTTGGAAGAGGGATTCTTCCATAGGACCACAGCAGGGAAGAAAAGGGTTATATTCCCTCTCTATGCGTGCTCTGAACCCTTTAATTAATTAATTAATTTGTATAAAAGCCACCCATTAGCATTATGCTCTCTGAATGGCCATTACAATTACATTAATCATCAGGCTGGTGCAATTTACATTAAAAAATAAACTGAAAGGACAAAGTTACAGAGAGAAATATGCTGCACAAAAGCTGGGAAATGACTAAATAATTGGTGGTTTGGAGAAAGGGGATGGAACTAGGTAAAGGGACATACGAGGACCTCAGCTGGGTCAGATTATAAATAATTATAAATTCTGGAATGATGGCTTGGAATTAAATTGTGGAAGATGGCAAGAATTATCTTTTTCCCTTTTGTGGTGGTAAGATTGCATTCCTTTACTGAACTAATCCTAATACAATAGGAGTTACTTCCAAGGAAACAAGACCTGGATTGCACTGTACATATTGTAGAAACTTTATCATAATGAACATGAAGATCCCTTAGCCCCAAAGCACAATGTGAGGATATTGCTGGCAGGAATGTAACCTAAGCAGCAGCCTAAGACAGTAATTGCTTCCATTTCTGTCCCTCTGTGTGTGCCACTGTATTAAAATGATTAAAAAACCCCTTAAATAACTTGAAGCCATTGGTTTATTGCAAAGCTTACAGAGACAAAGCTGGTTATAGCAAGAGATTTGCTCAGTTCCTCCAGTCCAATTATGCAGATACTTAACCAGGGTAGATGGATGGGGGAAGTGCAAATTGCCCTATCTTTTTGTGAGCTTCACCCGCAGTTCCTTTGTTTATTTAATGATATTTATACATTGCTTATATTAAACTTCTCAGTGATTTACAAAACAAATCTTCATATAGAAGACAATATTACCTTCCTAGGAATGCCTGTTGGAAATACAAAGTTTTCATTAGGCAGTGAAAACCTTAGAAGTGTAGGTGCCTGTCAAATTTGTAGTGGTAGGGAGTCCTGGGTGTTGGGTGCCGCAAGGTCCTGGACTAAGCCATGATGGACCAAACCTCTGAAGTCTTGGGAACCACCAGAATCGTGTTTCCTGATGAATGCAGCATCTGAGCAAGCCAGTAGAAGATCAGGTGATCTCTAAAGTATCTGAAGTTGATTGACCTGGCTCTCTTTGTCACATCTGAAATAACACTTACTATAAAATCAGAGAAAAGAAATAAACTTATTCCAAAATCAGTTCCTTGGCTGAATTGCTTCGTAGGGGTGCAGTTGTATAGTGTTCCTTGGCTGCCATGTTCCACTCCAGTTGCACTTAAACACTTGCATGTTAACCGGGATCCTTCTGGGTTCTTTATGATATCATTGTGAAAAAAAACAGTGAGCTCACTGCAGCTGTAGGATCTGCTAGACATGGGGCTGACTGCACCCTGAGGCAGAGTCGGGCTGCCAGTTTCAGGGACAGATTTTGGAATACTCGCGCATTCATTCTTTATTGCTACTGGGGACACCATTTGGATTTTCTGTCAAAAAGTTTTGGGCGGACTCTGGCTGGAGAGTGTCAGAAGAAAACACAAAACTGTTTTCCTGCTTGGCCATTGATTAATTTTTTCAAATGAAACTGATAAAAATGGGTCAGAGGATGGAAGCAGAGTTTTGCTGCCTATTTTGCTCAGAACTCTGATTGCTTTGCAAGACATCTGGATGAGGGCCAGCATACAGATAGTGTACTGAAGCATCATGCCTCCTCATGGTCTTTGTTTCAGCTGTTCCACTTCAATAAAACATACTAAACCACAAATGCTCTTTGTTAGTGCAGTAACATCACAGATCACACCCACACAGCAGATTCAAACTGTCATCACCTAAATGGCTAAAAATACAGACTCTTACTTCGAAATCTGGTTATATCTAGCACCAAAATGCTTCTATGATTGTGTCTTCTTTAGAGTTAGGTGTGGTGGCAAGAAGAAATTGAAGCAGGATCATTCTAAGTTTGCAGATCTTGGAGTAAGTGCTAATGGAGCTTGCTTCTGAGTAGCTGCATAGGACTGCACAGCACGTTCTATTCTTGGTTCTGTCTCTGTTCCTCTTTGTCATCTGGAGGAAATCATTCAAGGTTTCACAATACAAGAGTGTTTTGTTGATAATGGCTATTTATACTAAGTAGACCATGGTTTGATATACTGGGAACATGCATGAAAGCACACGTTCTGCAAAGAAAATATTTCATGAGAAAAGAAAATGGTCTAGCATATCAGAATGTAGCCATTGTTATCGCCTCTCAAGCTGCACAGCTAAGGAGCGCTTAGCCCCTGGATTATTTTTAAAGCATTAAAAACAAATGGGATGATGACCTTTCAAGATCCCAAAATGTGTATGAACTGGGGTTCAGGAATATATGGCACATCAACAGACCCCTAGGATAATAGGCAGGTGGTAGGTGTGATGCATAAATAATCTATGCAAAGCCTGGCAAAACTGCACAGAACATAAGGTAGATGGGGATATTTCTAATTGATATATGCAATATTTAGAATACTGAAGGAAGGCAGTGTGGTATAGTGGTTAGTATGTCAGACTAGGGCTGGGAAAATGGTTGAAATCCTCCACTCAGTCCTGGAGCTGACAGATTTGTACCACTTTCTCCCTCGGCACAGCCTACTTTACAGGGAAGTTGTGAGAATGAGGGGGGTACCCTCCCCCCCCATACACTTGGAAGTCCCTTGGAGGAAATGTGGGATAGAAATGTAACAAAAATAAACACGATAAAGACAATTAATCCCAGCAGCACTGATAATAATACTCTACTGTACTTTTTGATTTGAATTGGCTGGATAATGTACTGTTTCTCTGCTCAGCTTGATGCACTGGATGTCCATAAGCAGGGAGTTTTTATTCAAGCAAGAGATACTAAAATGGTGGTCTTAAAGGGATGGCAGCAGATATTCCCCCAACTCCCGCAGCTCTGAATCGGTTTCACTTTTGCCACAAAGTGCCTGGCTGGACACACGTCCCTTCAGGAGAATTGACCCAGTGCCAGTTTGTTATCTGAAACTGTGGCCTGCTAATGCACAAGTAGATGCATTCACGGATATCATAGCCTGGGGTTCTCAAGACTGCGTGATCCAAAGTATGACAGCTCAGAAAGAGAAATTAGTACCGATGGAAACCTGAACAGGAGTCAAAATTAACCAGTCATAAAGGTAAAGGTTTCCCCTTGACGTGAAGTCCAGTCATGCCTGACTCTAGGGGTTGGTGCTCATCTCCAGGTCCTAGCCGGGGGAGCCAGCGTTTGTTCACAGACAGTTCTCGTGGTCATGTGGCTGGCATGTCTAAACACCAAAGTGCACGGAACGCTGTTACCTGCCCACCGAAGTGGCACGTTGTTGTTGTTAGTCGTGAAGTCACATCCGACCCATCTCAACCCCATGGACAACATTCCTCCTGGCCTTCCTGTCCTCCACCATCCCCCGGAGTCCACTCAAGCTCACACCAACTGCTTCAGTGACTCCACCCTATTCTCCACCATCCGGTCTTCTTTTGCCATCTATTGTTCTCAGCATTAGGCTCTTCTCCAGGGAGTTCTTCCTTCTCATTAGGTGGCCAAAGTATTTGAGTTTCATCTTCAGTATCTGGTCTTCTAAAGAGCAGTCAGGGTTGATCTCCTCTAGGACTGACTGGTTTGATTATCTCCTCCAGCACCACAATTCAAAGGCCCCAATTCTTCGGTGCTCAGCCTTCCTTATGGTCCAGCTTTCACAGCCATACATTGCAAGTGGGAAAACCATAGCCTTGACTATAGTCACTTTTGTCGGTAGATGATGTCTCTGCTTTTTAGTATGCTGTCTAGATTTGCCATAGCTTTCCTCCCAAGGAGCTAGCATCTTTTAATTTCTTGGCTGCAGTCATTGTCTGCGGTGATCTTGGGGCCCAGGTACCTTTTTATCTACTTGCATTTGCATGCTTTTGAACTGCAAGGTTGGCAGGAGCTGGGACAGAGCAATGGGAACTCACCCTGTTGTGCAGATTCGAATCAACCAGCCCAGCAGCGCAGCAGTTTAAACCACTGCACCACCTAGGATATGCTAGAAATAAATTTCTGGTCAGGACTGGTTTGAAAAAGGCCAGGCTTCCTTGGACTGCTTGCCTGGTGTGTTTCGGTACGGGACTACATATTTGTTTGATTCCTAGACAAATGCAGCTTGCAACTAGAGCCTGTTAAGATACCATCTCTCCTCTTAATCCCACAGCTCCCCTACTAGGCAAAGCCCTATAAATAGCCCCGAAGCAGGAACTTGCCCCCGCCTTCCAATCTAACCCCAGCTGCTATCTGGCCATGTTCTCGGGGCTTGACTTTCCCAGTACTCGCGTCATAACTTCCACGCTGCTGAAGTCACAACTTCATTAGCATACCGAGGGGGAGCTCGGCCAATCAGGAGCGCGGAGACTGGTGACGCCTCGGTTTCCAAGCGTATTAAAAGTCCGGTTTGCAGCTGGAGCTCGGCTAGTCAAGCAGGGGGAGAGCGGCGGACGTGAAGGAAGCCTCCTTGGAAGACCATCGTTAAGCAGTCGCTGCTGCCGCCTCCGCGGGCGGTCGGGCACGAACGAACGGACCGTCCGACCAAGCAGTCCCAGCCCATCCTTAGTGAATTTGCATCCCCTACGCCAGAGCCTTAAAGGGCCCCGTAACCTCACCACGAAGCCAGTCATGAGCCAAGTCCAGCGCTGGAACGGGAGCTGCGTTAGCAACTGCAGCCGGGCGGACATGGTACCGGAGATCGCTGCCGCCGTGGGCTTCGTGTCCAGTTTGCTCCGTACCCGAGGCTGTGTCAGTGAGCAGCAGCTTCAGGTTTTCAGCGGGGCTCTCGAAGAGGCGCTTACAGGTGAGAACTGCGCCTCTCTCCGAAGTCGATACTCTAGGGCAGGCTGGTCCGACCTGGCGCTCTCCAGATGGAGTGCACCGCACTTCCCAGCACCCCACAGCCAACTGTCTGTAATCCACCCCATCTGGAAAGTACCAGGTTGAGGAAGGCTGCTCTGGAGGGGTATCTCTCATACTGAGCCCCATTTCCTTGACTGTGTTTGGGACACACTAAGCTTAAATCTTCCGTAATCATTGGCAAATGTGGGACGTCCACTCGCCTGCTTCTTTCTCCTCCACCTTTTCTTCTCTTCCCAGGTATATTTATATAAAATCTTCCCTCACACCAAATTGTGTGGCGCTCACAGGCCAGATTTAAAAAAAACTTACTAAACTACAGTATATGCTTTTGAGCATTCCACATCTGCTTCTGCTGTGGCTGTTTAGGATGCAGTGGGGAGTGTGGCTTTGGTTAGAGAGACTTTGTTTAGCAAAGTATTATCTTAGTTTATGAACAGTAAGGATATACCCACTATCCCAAATGAAAAAGTAAGTAAACTCTTACATGTTCAGTTCCAAACATTGCTCTTGGTGTGTATCAGGAATAAACTTTTGAGGCACAAAGCCATCTTGGGAAGAAAATGAGAAGGTTCTTTGTTCTTGGGGAAAAGGGAAGCCAGCTAGTGATGGCAAACTTAGTTCACTGGCAAGCCCTTTTCTTCCAACTTTGGGCTGAGCAAAACAAAGGGGAGTAGCACCAATGCACTCTAGTCAGTCTGTCGTGTGCGGGGATCCTCCTGGGGCTTTGTGTGCACAACTTGCCAGGTTCTGAGAACTGTGTGGCTTTGTCTGAAGCAGCTCCTCTCAGCTGTTGCGAAGTGCCCTGTGTTATCGTCCAGTCTGTTCGGTGCTTGAAGTCAAAGTGTGCTATATAGCAAGTGCCTTGATAATGCTAGGTTGTGAGGGAGTTGAGTGTGTGTTTCTTTTTTATGAAATGCTTAGAAGTTACATGCAAGCTGATACCACATAACTGCACAATTGCCTATACTTCTACTTCGATGTAGGTCCTACTGGATTCACTGGGGCTTACTTCCAGGTAGAAGACTATAGGTTGCAGCCATAATGTCTTTCTCTTGCATGTAAGTATGAGTGGCCTCAATTGACAGGGCTGTTAATCTTTGTCCCCATCATTGTATTAATGAATACATGTAATACAGCTGGAAGGGCTTTCAAAGCAAGCTCTATGAGAAGGAGCTGTGCGATTAGCTTAGGGTGTCCAGGACAGGGTAGCCAGGGCTGCATGCTAATCAAATTGTTTGTTAAGGAGCTTTGTGTAATAAAGTACTCTGTCTTAAATATTCAGTTAAACCTTTTGGACTCTTCAATCCCAGGGTTATAAGTCTGTGGCATATTTGACAAAAATGCCCTTATTATTTGGTATACTTGCACCCCTTTTGATAGTCCCTTCCGAATATGTTAATTGAATAGGTGGGCATAGTGGAGAATCTCCAGAGCTGAGAACTGCCTGTTAACAGTGATAGATTTATTTTATTTATTCTCCCTATACAAGAAGGAAATGTTAGAACTCCCTAATCTAGTACCAGTAGCAAAAATAAAATAAAATAAAATAAAAATAAAAATGCTGTATTGAAGGCTGTGTCAGACTGAACTGAATCCAAGGCACAGGTTGGGTGCCTGAAGCGCAAACAAATGCAGTTGTACATTTCTTTGTGTAAAACATGTTCTATCATGTCCTAACAATCCAATGTGATCACTTACACTCTTGGTATTTCTGTTTGTGCCATTGCAGAGCATTACAAACATCACTGGTTCCCTGAGAAACCTTTCAAAGGGTCTGGCTACCGCTGCATCCGTATCAACCATAAAATGGACCCTATCATCAGCAAGGCAGCTAGCCAGATCGGACTCAGTCTCCAGCAGCTATATCAGCTCCTGCCCAGTGAACTCACACTCTGGGTGGACCCTTATGAGGTATCCTACCGGATTGGTGAGGATGGATCCATCTGTGTCCTATATGAAGCTTCTGCAGCACCTGTGAGCTCCTATGGGATGCTCACCTGCAAAAATCAGATGATGCTGGGGCGCACCAGCCCTTCCAAAAGCTACATGATGACAGTCTCCAGCTAAGCACTCTCGGTTGTCCTTACACTGCCAAGACATGGGCTACTGTATACCTCACCTGAGGATGTATTTTTTAAAAAATGAAGAGCTATTTATATTTTTTTAAAAAAGAGAAAATCCAAAATGAAATCCAATAGCAGGCACCACTCTTCTGTGGAGTGGTGCTGAGGTGCCTTTTTAAAGCTGTTGCAAGCTTGCAAGTGTATTAAAAATGCCAATATCTACCTAATTAGTGTTGAATGACAATTCTGGAGGGTTGACCTGCCTGTCTGGGAAATGCAGGGTTGGAAAGAAAAGTATGGGGGTGGGGCAGGGCATGGCACTTTGAAGCAGTGACTAACTATGGGGTAAGTGCTACAACAACTGTGAATCTATAGGCCAGAATGCCAGGATGGTAGTACTTAAGCAATGAACCATACATGTTGATTGGGATGTCATGACCTCATTCTAGCCTTGGCACTTTTCTTTTCTCAAAGGTTAGCTCCATTTTATGGCACTGGTAAGTTGCTTCACCACCAACTTCACCTTCTAACCCAGTCTGAACAACTTTTTTTCATGGCATAAGCATTTTCCTAAAACACCAGTCACGTCCAGCCACTTCCTCTGGTCGGTTGGGGGGTTTAAGTGTCAGCCCATCATTTTGCACAAAAACTTGATTTATTTCTGCACAATTCTGCACCTCTTCCTGTATTTCAAGCACATGCAAAATTCCAGTTGGCACTTGAACATGTGGTTTGTGAAATCTTAAGGAACTTTGCTTGTTAAAGAAATCCAGGATCTGGACTACACAACTGTCTGGCCAGTTATTTTAGCACTCGGCTCCCATAGATGAAAGTGCAATGGCCAGGCCAATGTGAACTAAATCTACCTGCTGGGAAAATGCCTTCACCAGGGTTTTGTCTATTCCACTGCCTTTATCTTGACCTTGTAAAATTCCTGACAATGCTGCCAATAACTGCAGGGAGGTGATTACAAATCCAGGGCACTTAACCCTTTTCTTTTAAACCTATCTCCTTGGATCTGCTTCAGCGCATCTGGTCTTAATTGGCTTCTCTGGTTTTGACAAGTCAATTACTTTGATCCCCAGGCCTACTCCTCCTCTGCCTTTTGTGAACTGAGTTCTCAGACACTGTGCAATATGTTTCCTAAAATTTGGACACTCTGGAGGAGGAGCAGTTTCTGTGGGACAGTTTGCTGTTCTCAAAGCAACAACTTCTAACACTGCTCATATGACTCCTAACATGAGCTTGAGTGCATAAATGTCTGAACTGGGAAATCTCAGCCCTGTGATACCATGACATTCACAGGTATGCCATTTTATACTGAGCAGTTTTAAGATCTTTTTCTTTGAAAAGGCACAATTTGCCACCAAGTTCTTAGCATCCCATACTGAGATGAATGGGAATCTTAAGAGTGTTACCTATTGCAAAAGTTCAGATCTATTTCAGCAGCACTTGCACAGGCAGACTTAATCGTACCCCAAATTTCTGACCTGAAACATTTGCAATTGCATCAGCCCATCTGTGAATCATTTAGTTTCTTCCAGCTCAATATGTGAAGCTCTTGTTTTAAGGATCAGACCCTCCATTCAGCAAATACTAAGGTTGTAAAGCACTAAGGGTCCCCTGTAAGTTAAAGAGTCGCCACTCCGTTAGCATAATTGTGCAATATTTGGCGGCACAATGAGGGGAGCACTTTCTGCACTGTAGCTTCCCCCTCTGAGGAAAGTTTCTGTCAGTATGCTTGGGAGACTGGTTCCTTATCTGGTGCATTGAAAACATGATATGAATGAGAACTGTAAGATGCAGAGGAAAAATGTTTGTTTTGCCATGCTCCCTGCCTTTACTTGGCATTTTCCAAGTGCAGTAACTTGTTTGGCTTGCCAGTCTGGCATGATCAATTCAACTTGTTGAGAGGTTGATTGTTCATCTTTTACCTTCCTTACTAATGAAGGGTGCTTCTAAAAACCAAATTCTTATTCAATCTCATTTGTTTTTCCTTCCCAACATCCTTGAAGGGTTGAAGGAGGAACAGAAAAGGTTACCAAATATCATGCTATTGTACCGGGCATGGAACCTTGTGTTAAGTATTTTGTTAGCATTAAGACAACCAAATTTTGACAGAATCCATTTTGTAATTTGTGCATGTAAAAGCTGTGAATTGATGTATGCTCTTTGTTGCCTTTGAATCACAAGCCTGACACAAGCAGTGCTGAAGAACTGTGTCTTAGCAACAGCCTATGGGTGTGAGTGTGTCTATTTTTCTCCCCCTCTTTTCAAAAATGTTTTCAAAACTTGAGCTGGACTGTTGAGCGGGACCTAGTTTCATAATTGCTGAAAATAATACAAAGTTTGTAAGCTATTTTGTGTTGTGGGAGGGGGAATGATTGTTGTACAAAAGTGTTTTTATATGTAAAATGTACAGATATATTGAAGTGTACACTTTTGTTACTTTAATAAAAATGTAGCAATTTAAAAATGTTGCTGGAAAGATCTAAAACACTGGTTATTCTTTGCAAACATGGATCCAGCAGACCTTCCTCCTGAGCAAGGAGTGTTGTGATGAACAGAGCAGCGCTATGGACTTGAGCAGAATTCATGGCAGGGGAGGCTCTGCTTTCTAAATCCTGCCAGCTTGGGTGGCGGCAGCTTTATCTCCTTCCATCCCACCCAGCCATGCTGAGGTTTTGTCTTCATTTCCTTCCTCTTGATACAAGCGAGAGGGAAATCATTGTTGCCGGTGCCAGGCCTGGTTTAGTTCCTGGCTCTTGTTTGCATGTGTCTGGGGAAGAAATAAAGATTTGTACTGGTTTTCTTTGGACCTATGGCTGCCTGTAGAACATCTTGTTCTTGGCCCCAGTGATGGAGCAGGAGCAACAGTGGTAGAGCTGTCTACAGTCTTCCAGGGAGGTCTCTGCCTTCAGTCTTCTCTGCTTGGGGAGATGGAAGTCCATAGCAACTCTGGCCAGAAAGCCAGAGCTTTGGGCTAGCTCTTGTATGCTGTCTCTCTATAATAGAAGGCAATAGCAAGGAGCTTGCAAGCTGCCTGTCAATTTCTGGGTCCTGAGATGACTTCTCTTCAAACCAACTTTGTAAGTTTCTGTAGTTCCAGTTAAGAATCCTTGGACACTTGAAATGCACAAAACCGGCCCTGATAGGGCTTCATACCACTGCTAATTTACAGTGGATGCAAAGATGCCATAAATGAGGGTTGCTTTATAATGTTCATGCATCTGCCTTCATAGAAGGATCAAACACAAAACCTGAAGCTGATAACTCCAGAGTGGTTCATACTAAGAACTGGGGGAATATTTTGGGTAGTGGATGAGGCCACTAGGGTTGCAGAAGGGCTATTTTTGCCCTTCTGGGTCCTTCCAAATCAAGTGGGAAAAGGGGAGCAATTCCGGTGGCTAGAGTGTGGTGACCTTGCAAGAAAACAGTCCAAAGGAATGTCACGCCAACATTCAAAATGGAGTGGATATAGGTGCTGTTGCTTCCCAGAAATATGCTCAGTTTTAACATCTGAAAACAGTAGTTGGCTTACAAGGGGACCACAGCCATGCAAGGATCTTCTGTGTTGCCATCCAGGGTACCATTTTGGCTGTCTGCATGAAATGCTGCCGAGGGAAGGAGGCTGGGGCACCATCTGGATATGATGTAATCCATCAGCCCCAGCAAGTTCCCCCACTTGGAATGCTTCTTTAGCTCTATCCAAGGCTGATTTCTGAACTTGAAGAAGCAGCTGGTGCCATTTTTTCTGCACTGGCTGTGGGAGGTAGTGGTGGTTTGGGGGCTCTTCATTTGAAGACATGGGACTTCATAGCTAGGACTCCAGAATCCTAGCATCCCTGCAGACAATATTGGGAGGCTATAGGATTGTACCATAGTATTGTACCTACTTTTCAGGCCTCCAGGGAGAAATCATTTTCCCTACATTCTAACTTATATGGGAAAAAATAAGAGCCATGTTGCAATGGGATAGCTAGAGGGTTATTCCATTGTGGGGTGAGCTTTATTGAAATCTCTAGTACTCATATCAGTTGTCATAGAAATGATACCCGAGAGGTTTGGTAATTCTATCCTTCATTACTCAAGTTTTCATGCTGAAGTTATGAAGTCTCAAAGTAATAGCGCAAGGAAAAGCTGGAACATCATTCTCCGAGAATAGCTATTTAAAGGATACAGTGCAAAATGAAGAGAATCCTGGGTATCCAGTTCTAGTTGTATTTTAAAATGAAAAAAGAAACCAGGCCTTACTCTTGAGTACTGGATTATTTGAGTCAAGAGTGGGCAATTGTGGCCCTCCAGCTGTTGCTGGCCTGCAACTCCCATCATCCTCCATCATTGTCCATTTTTGACTGGAGCATCTAGAAATTGCAGTCCAGCAACAGCTGGAGGAACACAAGTTGCCCGCCGCTCATTTAAATGTGTGATGGCATGTTTCAATATATTCTGTAATTCTGGAATGAAAGCAAAACCAATTTCAGTCTCAAAATGACTGTACTGCACCCTGGCTGGTAAAGCTAAATAGGAAAACTAAAATATTCACTGTAGTAACTGTCCTGCACAACCTGATACAGTGTCTGCAATATTAAGGCAGGAAGGTTCTACAAAGCATGAAGAGGAAAACAAAAACGATCTACTTCGATATTTGCTATAAAGTTGACCATATAGTATCGGAGAAAAATCTTTTATCGACATCTACCACTATTATATTTAATATAAGCATTCTAGCCCCTTAGGAAAGTCAATTTGATTCTGGCAATATCTTGTAGGCCTTATAGCACAACCAGTGTTTGGCTGCTGATGGAGTTGGGTCTTTTCATTTATATGCTAATTCTTTCTTGCTGCTGTGAAAAAGGTTCATTCTGTGAAGCCCATATCATTAATCTTTCAGATCTTACCATATTAGCACTGAAGGAATTACTTAAGGTAATTTTAGTGCAGTGTTCAAAAGTAGCACTGGTAGAATGCATAGGTGGAGGTGGTGTGGCCCTGAGACTGTGAACAAACTGGAGGAGATCATGAGAACCCCCCTTTCCATTAGAACAAAACAGCATGTGTGCCAACAAAAATGGGGCCTCTTGTGGCCTTATGCTCCTTGTCATGCCTGTCTCTCAACTGGTCCACTCAACAATTGCTGCTGTGTTTTGGTATGGCAGGATCACACACTTCTGGGTAGGAGACTGGCTCCTGCTACTGCCTGCTGCCTTCTTAGGTTCAATATGTGCGGCATCTGCCATTGGAGAATAAAGGCACATTGCACCATTTAGGCAGCAAGCAAACCTAGGAGTTCATCTCTCTCCTATGGGCCAAGTTTGCACAGCATCCTGAGCAGAATCATTCTGTGCAGGCAGAGCAGTTTGTGCATCGGGGCCCATTTGCTTGTTCCTTGTCTATCATGATGCTTTGTAGAGGGCGGAACAGACTAACTTTGATTTCCTTTATATTGATTTGATTTAGCTATTCTGAGTGACTTGTTATTGATTTGAATTATTCATTTTGATTTATTTCTTTACAGCACTCCACGTTCCACTCTGTCTAAACAAATCCTGGAGCAGTGAACAAAACAGATAAAAGAACAAATCCCCGCATTAAAATAGATTGTCAATCAAAATCTGTGTCTGGTCAACCAAGGAAGGTGTCTTGGAAGAATGACGTTCCCAGGAGTTGCTGAAAACAATACGGTGTTAGTGCCGGCCTCATTTCCAGCAGAAGGAAGTTCCACTGAAATGGAACTGCCACACTGAAGACTCTTCTTAGGGAGTCTTCTCAGGGCATCTCAGGGTGGACCTCAATTGAGCCATAAGTCATGTATTTTATATTAATTTACAAGTCTGGCGTGCAATTAAGGCCTTCCTCATTCCACTCACGTGTCTCAGGTTCAGTCTAGTTACTCTAGCATAATACATAGAAATGCATTATGATCCATGGTTTTGAAAGAAAAATCCAGGACCCAACTTTAAGGGTCTCACTTTTTCACATCTGAGGACCCACATCTTAATTTATTACACGGTGGCTGGGTTCACATGTCATGACAAGTAACTGTGTGTGGTTTCCATGGTGCATGGATTTTTGCCTGGCTATGCCGACAGACAATTACATGGTTTGACACTAGCACAGTTTCCACCCTCTTCACTGAGTCCTCCTACTGCGGCATGTATTGCATTAGTTACCATGCCTGAAATTCAATGCCACACATCTCCAGAAACGGGATTCTGGATTCTTTCCAGGGCATTCTGTGGTACCTGTATACCAGGACCATGGAAACCACAATGCTGGGTTCAGATGACCACAGAAACTTATGATGAAGCTTGAAAACCAAAAATACTATGTCAAAATGCCACAACAGGGTTTGGATGACATGACGGATCTTCCTGCACAAGAAACCACCATGGCTTGTTGTGATGTGTGAACTTGCCCTATATTTGTATAATTGTTGTGCTGCTGTTGTGTCCAATCTTGCATGAGACTGCAGCACACTAGTGGGTCCTGAGCGACAAGTTGAAGACCAGAGTGTTAATAAAAGAACATTAGAGGAAATGTGCAATGCAAGGCCAAACCTCCCTGAAGTGTAAAACTGGAAACCCCATTGTATAGATTTTCCCATTCCATCTGCACATTCGGTGTTGAAGAATAATGTGATGCTACATACCAAGCCCAAGACAACAAGAATGCCATGGCAGGAACTTTTAACAGGATCTCTACCAGCATCTATGCTCACTTTGAAGCATTCTGAACTGGCGAAAGAAGCTAGCTTTTAAGTGAGTAGTTGATTGCTCAACAGTCATGTAGATGCCAGAGCTCTGTTTAGAAGGAGATGGCACACCCTCCTCCAAGTGACCTAAGAGCCTGATATACTTTGTCCTCGGATAAATATTCTCAGATGACACCATGGCTCACTGCTATTTATCACCCTTAGTCACTGGCAATCAAAATGATCAAAACGTCTTACACTTTATTGTGCTCAGTGTTGTTATATATACTTAATTATACCCATACAACCACAGCTATCACGGTTGTTTCAGCAACTGCAACATTAAATGGCCACAGTACTTGTATTTCATCAGGCGTAAGAATCTTTTCCATTGGATGGAACATTGACATTCTGTATCTGTGAACATTTTAAGGATATTTCACTGCTATTATTGCAGTTATTCAGAGGTATTCAAATATATTCATTATTCAAATAGATACAATATTATTCAAATATTATTCAAATATGTATGTTGCACGATGCCCTCTTATGCCAGGAGTCTGGAAGCACCTTAGTGCAAGGAATTTCCTAGTCATCTTGATGGTCAATTTGTCCCTCTGTGATATTTTCACCTTGTTTTTTTTTTTAATTGATAAGTTTCAGTGGAAATTTCCAGCTGTTGTGGATTTCCAGTGTGACCCAGTACAGAAGGTATGACATCTGACAGGGTCCTTGTTTCTTTTCAGGTATGTTATTATGGCTAAGTACTATAATAGTTAACACTGATAATAAATAATTGCTGT